CTATTGAAAAGAAAATATGTAGACATTTTCTTTTGACATGAGAGAAAAAAACAGGATATATGATAAATGTAAAAAGCCTTTTCTTTTTTTTTTTTTCGATTGTCAATATCGTGATAATGATCTTATTCACAAGAGAATTTTATTTTCTATATCGCTCAAGACGCATAACAATTTTCTAAATGGTCTATTAACAAATCAAGATGACGAGTTAATTGATGCAAGAAATAAATATGTTATTTCAAAATTATACAAGTACTTTTTGACGGAAGTCATTTTTTTCTCGTATATTGACAAAAGATCTTAATCGGTAGAAAAACAAATTTATGTTTGAACTTACCGAACATGCCCAACATAAGAAGACTTATTTGAACCATGACTAACGATATTTTGTTTGATGCAAATGCTGCTGACATTAAATGTAAACTTGTGCTATTAAATTGTTATCTGAAATAAGTTTAATCCAATAAAAAATAATAATAAAATGAAATATTGATTCTACTTGTTATCGATAGACAAACGATAGCATAAAAAATTGACAAGAAAAAGAAAAAAATACCAATACTATCAGATGTATCTCTATGATATATATAGATCTAAAGTAAAATAGGAAAATCAATCTATAGCTTTTCTTCTTAGCGTCTTAGTGGGAGATTTGCTAAGTAGGCAGATAAAGAGAAAAAAAAAGACATCAGCATACATTGGTAATTTTTGTTCGTATGAATAAAACAAAATAAAAACTTCCGACTAGAATGAATACAAGAAGAAAAAAGAAAACTATGCGTAATATTTATTATCATCATGGTGGCTTTCGACCATTCATCATAAGTATTATTACAGCAAGACGGATTGGTCGGAAAAGAGCGAGAGACAGAGAGAAAAATTGACTATCTCTTTTTTTTTCTGAGCGTTTTATTGTTCGTAGAAATAACTTTGTTCTCTCGTCATTTAAAGTCATCTTCAACAAAATAAAAAAAAAAAAAAAAAAAAAGAACTAGATAAGGACATTCTTAAATCTTATTTTAGAACATGTTTCGTGATATGGACAAAAAAAAAGTGTCACATTTTTGAATTAATTACTCTGTTAGAATAAAAACGCAATCTGTCAGTAATCACAATACAACTATAGTTTATAGAAGAATGTTTTATTATGAAAGATCTTTTGTAGATTTTGATAGACATGATTATCATTCATGAAAATGCTCTTTGAATACAGATTCGTTTAGATTTACGTTCTTTTTTTTAATCGTTTCAATGGCAAATGAGATTTCAATATATTTTCTCGTATACAACGAAAATCATGTTTTGTAAATACAATCATTAATCAGATGAAGAACTATTACAAAATTTAATAGTTATAAATGATTGTAAGAATTGGATTATTGAAGTCATAATAAAATTAGATTCTCATTCTTTGTGTATACAATGCAAAAAAAATCAAAGAGTCATTAAATAGATAAAAATTTTAGTTTTTGCAATTCATACAAGTTACATAAGTAGAATAATAATTCATTAATTTTCAGAAAAAAAATATGTCTTTACAACATTTGAAGCATCAATATTTTTCTTGTTGTATAATGCTTATGATTAGAAATTCATTTTTTCTCTAGTGCTTTTTAACATTTAGTTTTATATCATAGTAGCAAGTTGTTACACTTGAAAAAAAAAAAGCAAATTAATAGTAAATTTCATTAATAGTAGATCATATGACAAAAATCTCAAATCATTACGTTTCTTCAATAGATGAGCAAAAGAAATCTAATTCTTTTACTAATCAATTCGAAGATTATCGTCAATTTTTGTACTAGAAATAGTTTATGCATATCATACAATAATCAACAAAAAATACATCTGACAAGAAAATCAACTACTCATATATTGAATTTGCAAACTGACAGATTATGTCATTAGGGAAAAGAATCTAGAACTATACACGAAATTAATTCTAAACAAAACATTTTCAATTACTAAATGGTTTAAAAACAAAAGAATTGAAGAATCTAGTAATAGTAATTAATAATAAATGTATGAATGTGGTAACTGTGAGACATGGGGGAGATGCACTCCCTCCCCTCACTTTTGTGTTTTTCGCCACATCCATGAATTATTATGATATTCATCAAAATAGACTAATTAATCGTATTATTAATGTTAAAAAGACTGAAACCTATTGTTTTATTTATTTTAAAAATATACAATAGTTTCAATTAAAAAGTTGACATTCTTAAACACAAGTTTTAATTAATAAATACCAATTCACTATGAAAGTACTTCGCTTTAGTCTTACATATTGTCTTGTTTATTAATACGTGCCAAGAAAAAATTTATATTTTAATCACAAGAGAGAACAGTTTTCTCGATAACAATTATATAAGAATATGTTCTTCTGTTCTTAGGTCAAAATGACACAATGTTTTATATTTTTTTTTTGCGTTATTACATTTATATGATCAGATGCAGAAAGATAATCATTTAACTATATATCATTTTGAATTTCTTTTTTTTTTTTTTTCCTTCAAAAAATCACTTTGATCAGTTTATGTATGATCGATTTATCAAGTAACACTAAACGTCATAAAAAAAATCAACAAACAAAAAAATAAAACTCAATCAGTAAATCAAATGAATAAGACAATACAAATTACTGTAACTGATCAACAAGTAAAAGAGATTAATTTATTTGTCAACTTTTTGACCTTCTCGTCATATATATATATATATACATAGATGTTGTAATTTAATAATCCTTATTATAATCTCTATTGAATTAAGATCTACAATTGATTATTACTCAATTATGAAATATGAATTAGCAAATAATACACAAGACTTTTGATAATATACATATGCAATGCAGAGTCATATAACTGAATTTCAATGACTTTTTTTTTTTTGTAGGGTAAGATCATTTAACAAAAAGATCATACCATACATTAAATAAAAAGTATTATGGAATGTCTTTAACCATGTTTTTTATGAACGTTGAGATATACAAATAGAATCAAATCCCTAGTGAAAATACTCATCAAGAGAGTAAGACTTTCCAGCATCATTACGCAAATTACTTGAGCGAGTATTTGAGCAACTTTATGTGTATGGATACTGTTCGTCTAGTCTGACAAGAATTCAGACGAATTTTTTTTTTACAGATTTACTCATGGGAAATTATGTGAGTACTCAACATAGTACTCATGTTCGTTTGTTTTTGCAGAAGATTAAATAAAACTTTTATATATTTTCATATACAAAAATGGTTTTAAAATTATGTAAAGAAATAAATTGATAGAAGATCATGGATAATATAAAGATACTATTTTAATGACTTATCCTAATTTATTTTCTATTATCTGCTAATGAAACATTAATATCATTTTGTTAAATGATGCATTTAAGAAAATGAAAATAATATTTCATTTTAAACTATTAACTTATAAAGTGAAATTGAATGTTTATTTTAAAAGAATTAACTATATTAAGTACAATTGTACGATAAAAAAGTCTAAAGAACAAGTAAGAAAAGAGAAATTGAAAATGGAATTATTGTACTAACAAAGTGGATTTGAACCTTAGCTGATCTATGGTCTTTTTCTTTTTTCACAAATCAGAACTGTTATTTTCCAACATGTCAAATAAAATAGTTATACCAACAATGTGTTTGTAAGTTTTATACATCAAATATCAAATAATATTCTGAATTGATTAAATATTTATCGTGTTTTATTTTTATATTAATTTAAATTGGGTTTCACGATTCATTGTAAATCACAAACTGTTATATAGTATGTTTTTGAAGAATTATTATTAATACAAGTTATATCTTTTGTTGATTTAGTCTATTGTTAAGATAAAATTCATAATTCTAAAGATATTGTTTAGTTCATTAGCAGATATTTATCTATTGATTGATGTAAAATCTCGTTCAATGAATCAATTTTTGAATCTATTGTCAAAAAATCTTAATAGAACATGACATTCTCTGAATGTTCCATCATCTTTGATTACTCTATTTGTTGTCTTAAGAGCGTTATTTGTACTTGCTGTATAAAATTGTAAACACTCTCATACCAACCATCATTTGATTTGAGCTATTCATTATAAAGATAAATTATCAAGACTAATATTGATTTCTTTTTCTATTTGTTGTTTATATTCTATTTCTTCATAAATAATGCTGAGACTAATTTAAATACGACTGTAAAATTAACTAATTCTAGTATTTCAATATATCGATCATTTAAAAATCATAATCAAAATTTATTATTAAAATAACATACAAACACATATTGAAGTGTAAGATAGAAATGATTGCGTATTTTATAAAATTATTGATCATGTACTTGTACAGGTTCTTGTCATCCATGCTATATTTTTTGCTTTCTTCTATGACAATGAAGATTTCTCTAACTCTATGATTTGTTTTGAAACAAACGTAAAAAAAAACAAAATGATACCTGTAGTTCTTATAAATCGAAAATAAGAAAAAATTGTTTTGAAAATGAAATATCAATGGTAAAGAAACATAAAAATCAAATTGTAAAAGAAAAAGAGTTTACATATGCATTTTTATCAACCGAAATATTTGTCATAGTGTATGAAAATTTGAATGATCTTTATTCTTACGAGAAAAATATCATACATATAAGTAACATCAAATAGAAATATGTAATCTTTCATCACTTTCAAAATTTCAATTTGAATTATTCTATCGTTTATGTATTATACTCAACTATGATTTTATCATTAATCTCTTGTTCCTCTTGACATATTCATTTCAAGGATAAAAAGTATAAGTTTGATATGATACAACATAAATCTTATTCTATTCATATGCATTGTTCGATTATCATTTGTATCCTTATTAATATGCAAATACGAGTGACTTAAATATCGATATAATAAAATAACTTTTGAATCATTATTATTCTTTGCTTTTTTTTGTTTCAGATCAATTGTCCAGAGACTAAATTGTTTTAATCATGTATAATCATCTATTGATCATTCTTATGGTTAGTAATTTTTTATTATTAACAACATGTTTAATAATTCATCAACAACATACAAAAGATCGTGAAGAAATCTGTGTTAAAAATTATTTTCAATCAATAACTACTAATTATCTACGTGTATGTTATATAAATAATTATCGAGATCATTCTATTTTCGTTTGGTTTACAATCGAAAAATTTCTATTGAATATATTTCATGCATATCGTTTTACATTACGATCAATCGATGCTATGTCTTTATCAACAATTAATATTCATATTCTAACAAATTTTACACAACTTATTGATATAAATAATAGTTTACATATATTAAATCTTAATTCTGGTCAATATGAAATATGTATTGACTTTCAATCTTATTCTACATCATATATTTATTCACCACGTACGGGTTGTATATTTATTCGAAGAGATGAATTATTACGTAGATCATTTAAACAAAATTCAATACAATTATTTATTGCATTAGTTATTGGTATTGTTCTTTTTCTAATTATTGGCATTATTGTTCAATTGATAAAAATTAAACGAATACGAAAACATCAACAAGTATCTAATGATACTAAAAATAAATTCTATGCAGAAGATCAAGAACAAAAATCGCCGAAAAGTTCAAGTATATTTTCAACAGTATCATTGAAAAAACAACATAATCAAATTGTAAGAAAATTATTTCATCGTCAGATTGATCAATCTAATGTTTCAAATCTGCGATCATGGAGATTTAATCGAGCTTTTCATCATTGTTCTTCAATAAAAAAGCAAGAAATCAAACAATCAAAACAAATTCAACGAAGAAATAAACAAAATTTGATGACAAAAAAGATTAATTTTCAAAAAAATCATTCATCATCAATGTCAACTTCGACTACATATGATATTTATACAATTCCAATGAATAAATATTCACGAAAAATTTCTTTTTATTTAACTCCATCAGAAGAATTTGAATTAATTTAGAATATTTGTGTTTTTTTTTATTGGTTTGAAAGAAAAAAAAAAAACAAAATTTTTTTTTTTCTTTTAAATAAAATGTTTTATATTAAATAGCATTAAAAGCTTTACGATATTCACGTAGTAATAATGGATTAACACTACTTTGCATATATCGAAATGGTGAGATAAAATCTTGATTTATTATATCACTAGTCTTTGGATTATTAGATATTTGAGTTGCATCAGGCTTTGTTGATAATGTAGGTGATTTTATTGTTTGAGATATCTTTCCAGATGTTCCATAATTATTTGATACATGTTCATTATTAAGTACAGATGGATGAGATTTTTTTGATTCGATCAATGTTTTTTTGGATGTAGATCTAACAGAAGGACGTTCAACATAGTTAAGTGATGGACCAGAAATTAATGTTGAATAACTTTGACGACGACGACGACGATGACTTTTATTATTTGATCTATTTTCATCATGATAATCATTTTCACTTACTGATTCCAAATGATCAAGTGTTGTTTGTGTATTATGATTATTTATTTTAAGTTTTCTTCCTCTATGATCTTCAAAATATTCTTCAACTATTTCTAACATATCCGATGTTGTTAAATTATAATGATCTGATTGATTTTCATCACTATCAATACTTGTTTGTCGTTGTTCATATTTTTTCTGATTAATTAAACTATGAATAGATTTAAGATCAATAACTGGTATATGTGTTGTTCGTCGTCGATGAGAACGAGAATGATTTTTTGGAATTATATAGGGTTTTTGAGTTATATTAGATGTTGAAATTTTATTAGATTTTGGAGTTATATAAGATAATGGTTCAGTTTTATTATTTGTTAGTTTCGGTTGAATAACATCCATAAATAAGATACGATTTCCTTCTTTTGTATATTTTTCACCACGTTCATTTACTTGATAGCTATCAGAAACTGAAATAGTGTCAACATCTGTTTCGTTTGTAGAAATAGAATAATCAAATAATTCTTGAGGTTGTTCTAAAATATATCTAGGACGTTTTTTAGAAAATGTTATCATTGGATTAGGTATAACTTTTTCAATAACAATTGGTGCTTGTTGTGATCTTTTGATTTCAATATTATTTTGTACTGATAATGGATTAAATGAAGTTGTTTGTAAATGTAAACCTGCTGTATTCAATTGATCTATATCATGTTTAGCATTTGATCTTGTTCGACGATGTCGATCAGATTTCATTGATGACCTTGATGAACTTGAACAACTACAAGAACTCGAAATTTCTTCATCATCCATATGATGTAAATGTTGATGTACTTCATTTGTTAAATCATCATGATAAAGACCTTGATGTACTCCAAATGGTGAATCTGGTGGACGTGGACGAGATTTATTTAAATCAACATCATGCCATAATTGCCATTGTTCAATAATAGTTGCATTTGTACGATAAAAAAAACCATCATTTGATGGATCTAATAAATAATTTCGATTTATTGATGATATAGAACCATGACAATCTGTTAGTTGATTGAATTGAAATTCATCATCAACAGCTGGTGATATATATATAACACCACCTGTTTCACTTATTTTTCGTCCATAACGATCTAACTATAAAAAAAAAAAAAATAAACAAACAAATAATCAATGAAATATTTTAACATAAAACAATAGGATAAAATCATTAACCTGATAGAAAATAGGTGATTTGATAGGTGTAACATTAGGTTTAAGATTTGCATAAACTTCTGATATTGTTCGAACAAGTGCAAGTGCTGAATCATCATCTTTTGTTACAAAAAAATGACATTCATCACCTGATACTAATATTGTACGTTGTACAACAAAACAAAATAAAGGTGGATGTTTGCTTTGACTTTTTACTGTTGGATCTAATTTTGCAAAACGCCAATCAATTGATGATGTTTGATCATATTCAACAGCAGAAAAACGAAGACTTGCACAATAAATCAATGCTGATATTGGATAAAATATTACTGTATGAGGTTGACGAGCCAAGGTCAATTGAATACCATTATCATAAATCGAAAGGACAGCATCAATACCTTTGACATAGAAAAGAAAAATTTCGTTTTTTTTTTTGTGTTATGATATTATAATTAAATACCTTGAGCTACATTTGTTCCATCGACAGGATATCGATGTGAAAATGGTTCTTGAATTGAATCAAGACCACGATGACCAGGACTTGGTGGTGCTGAACCCAAATACAAAACACCACATTGAACAATTGGTTCAATAATTTGTGTTTCAGGAACTATGGGTAATTGATCTGCTGATCTTATTACTGTTGCTTCTGACATAGTGTCTAATAAAAAAGTAAGCTATGACAAAAAAAAAGAAACTTGTCGCTAGCTTCTTTTGTTCTTGTTACTTTTGAACGAGTATTAAGCAAGGTTGAAAAAAAAAGAAAAGGTGACAGTATGCATTGAATAATAATAGTTATGTCGTCGCATGATATGTCCTATTGATATATGCGTATAAGTAAAACACTATGTAACAGTTATTCAAAACGAAAAATGCAGTCATGTGTAACAATGACGACTCTATACGAAGAAAAAATTGTCTTGTTTGTGGAATTTTCGAAAATAAATGTTCAAAATTTAAGAAAAATAGATTTTTAAATTATTGATATTATTTTCTATTATAATTATTATTTTAATTAACTTTTTTTTAAAAGAAAAGGTTTACATTAACAATATATAGAATTTTTATTTAAAAATTATTATAATGATGATACGATTGAATGATTATTCAAAAAAACCCTTGGCTGTACTAAATACTTACGAGTGGCATAAAAGACAATCAACTTTAAATACAACGGACTACGTTTTAGATTTCAATTTGATCTATAATCCTGACAAATCTTATAACATAGGACAAAAATTGATTATAAACCTACATTATAGGATGTATTGGAAGCATACATCGAATCAAATCTCAGAATATATTAGTGATTTAAATCGTGTGTACGATTCACTGTCTGTTGATTATTTTGTAGAAAAAAAAAATAGCAAATGAGTAGACATGACAATACGCAATATATTGTCGGACTAAAGCTCTCAATAAATTTTCTAAACGGAATATCACACCACGAACTATTAATTATTTGTAAGGTTAACATTCTCGGATGAGACAACATATGAATTTTCTACATACAAATGATTATATTGCGATTGAGTTACTGTGCAAAAATCCGAGACAACATGATTATTTCAATTTCAAAACATCGAAAACATAAAATTTTAACAACTGATTTATGATATTGTGGCAATGTTATAATAAAGGTCGTATTGATATTACAACATTCTTGAAAGCGACTGAATGATTGAAATATTTTCAACAGCTATCTCTCTTTTTTCATGTTCTGATAATACATTCATTGTCGTAATGTCTACTTCTTTGTTCATCATCTAAATCTATTTTAAGGACTGTTTTTATATAGTTTTCAATTCAATATTTAGAGAGATAGTGTTAGTAATCAAATTTTTATTTATGTAATTTAAATTTACAATAATTATTTTCGTACAGTTACTTCTACTCCATCACGTATATCTTCACGATATTCAATAGTTGATTCATACATTTGTGTTGTATAATTTGGATTATTTCGAATATAGTCCAAATACTTAGGTGCACCAGGATAGATAACATTATCAGCTACAATCATAGTTCCAGATTTAATCAAACCATATTGTTCTAATAATATAAAATCAGGTAAATATGCTGCACCATCATGATCGATAAAAATAAAATCCAATGTATTAATATGAAATATTTTACTCAATTGAGGAATAACATTTTCAGTTGAATCAACTATAATTTTTATTCGATTTTCTACACCAGCATGTTTATGAATAGTATGAGCTATTTCTGCTGATTGAGGATTTTTTTCAATTGAAATAATCAATGCATCATTTGGTAATTGAGCTGCCATTCTTAATGAACTATAACCAAGAAAAGTACCTATGAAAATAAATAAATTGTGATTAATGGAAAAAATTCAACAAAAGCAAATATTGATACCAAGTTCTAAAACAGTTTTTGGTTTTCTTGTTCGAATAGCATCATCAAGAATTTTTCCTTTTCGATCACCAATATTCATTAACCATTGTTTAGTCCAACCAAATTTATCAATTGTATCAATTATATCTTGTATATTACCGCGATGACTTTTTTCAAGAACATAATTCATAAATGAAATATATGAAGATTGCATTTTAATAGTTATATCTATCTGTAATTTTTCTTTGTCAAACTATTTAAAATAAGTATTTGCATTGTCAGTATGACATGACAAAAAAAAAAAAATTTTACTTCGTCATCATGAATCTTTTTTCTTTTCGTTCTGTTTATTTAAAACTTTTGATATAGTTTCTTTAGCACATACATAAGGATTAGATGATTTTTCATTGTGCTCTATTTCTCTCTCTGATCAACATTTAATGCTTCTCTGTAAGAAAAAAATTCATATAATCGATTCAGAAAGAATTAAAATGAATTTAATGAAGAACATATGACCATAGATGCATGCTATCAACTAAAATATACTTGATTGTGCATCACTAGTCAAATTTATTAATTGAAGAATCATCAAGAATAACGTCGAACAATATTTAACAGGTTTATATTTTTACACGTAATAGTAAATTATATGTCCTGGTTCAATAGGAACATTTTCTTCATTTAAATAAAATAAACTCATTCACAACGAAACTCTTCTAGCAAATAATAGTTGTCTTAAAATAAATAGACCTATACAATATTTAATCAGTATTTGTACCGTTTTCTAATGTTGAGATTAATTTTTTTTTTGTCGATGAAGTTTTCCTTCAATATTCTAAAAATAAATATTAAATGTTTTGGTCAATTGAACTATCACAACAAAGTGATTTATGTTCTAGTCTGTTTATAGTATTTCATTCCAATCTTGTACAGTAGACAGTCCGTTTTTCAGCTGAAATATTCACGAATTATATAAATATGCTAATTAAAACTGCCGATACTGTAATTCTTGATAAGAAAGGCATCAAAGTGTCGTCTAATGAATTCTTTCATTATGCTAAAAGGTGAAAACAACCGATTAACATCTTAAAATCGGTTTATAAAGGGTTTCACAAACAAATTGATCTACAATTCCCAATAGTGCTAATGAATCATACTCCACTAGAATTTGTGAACGATATCAAACACATTGAATATACTTGAAGTAGAAGTTGTTCCTACGTAAAATTATATCATACTGTCTGGAAAAGATTCACCAATCATACTTGAAATTCAAATATTAGAAGCACAACGAATTGATGTCTATTGAAGCTTTGAACTAATCGTTCCTTGTTTTCGCCGGATGGTTTTGCCTATTCCGTTTCTGTCTAATAACACAATCAGAATTGCTTCAGAAGAAGTTTAGAGTAGACCTGAGATTAATTCACCATTGTCCATGAATAATAATTCAAAAACTGTATATCTGTGCGACATCATTCTTTTTCAATGATATATTAGTTCAAAGTGAATTTAAAAGAAGAAAAAAGATGAAATAGAATATAACTTTGTTTTAGAAGTTTGATTAAAATTCTTTGATAACAAATGAGAAGGTCAAATTGAGGCAAACGTACGCTTATTCTTAATAATTTGCGTTCCCATGAACTTCTTCTATGCCTGAAGAAGAAAGCTAACACTCAATTTTTATGTCGTTAATCGTTCATTATTTTCTGTTAATTTTTCATAAGTTTGTTACTCACATTATGTTTCCATATTCTCTTCTAGTTCTTGTTGATTTCTATTATTTATTCTTTCCCCTATTTCCTTCCTTTTTTGCATAACATCCCACTTGTAGGTACTCTAGAGCGCATCACAAATGGAACACACGCATAGTTAAAACAATACTTAGTAGCAATTTTGCTCTTCAATATAGAGGTGACATGATAATGTTTTTTTTTTGAAGGATAATGCAGTGAAACATAGTAGCGTAACCTTACATATATAGAATCAAAACTCTGTAGTTATTTGTTTATCAAAAAAAAAAAGATTTAACGTCCGTCCATGAAATTGAATATTTTCAGAAATATAATTCTATTGAAATTGACATTTGTTACAGTGGATTCATTCATTTTTTAAGATGAAAATTTTCCTAAAATTACTATTCAATGATGTCTTCAAATGGATGTCAGTCTATGTAATTAACGAGCAAATATAATTAATTAGATATTGAAATTGTTTTCACTTTACTCAATAGTCATGGCTAGATTTGAATGAGGTATAAAGTTCTATACAGGACTCATTCCCTTGAAGTTTCCATCCGTCTTGAATTATGTCCATTTTAGTGAACTTTTGATGTGTGACAAGGAATTTCGAATAACATATTATTAATTTGGTATTTTTCTCATAGATAGATCTCAGAGTCATTAGGATGTTTTGAAGTTTTCCAATCTAAATCATATATTTCTTTCTCGAGACAGCAAGTTTTCAAGACAATTCAAGTTTCTTGAACTTTTAAGAAAATCCTGCTTTTATAAAATATTACTTGTCTCAAGAAAAAAGCATCTGTTTGGAGTGAAAACTTCAGAATAGTCCAGTGACTCTCAGACATATCAGTAAGAAAAGTATCTTATAAAAAATATGTTATTAGAATTTCTTTGAAATTCTTTGTGGCAAATCGGAAATTCACTAAAATAGTCATAATTTAAGATAGAAGATTTAAGAAAACAAATTCTTTGTAGTTTTATTCATACTACATTGAAATCTAATGATAGTAAAAAGATGTAGTAAAATCAAATCATATATTCAAGCATGTTTTCTCATAAGTAGAATTCAATTGATACGTGTAACTCTCAAGTTTATATATTTATGTATATTTCGAACATGCTTTTTAAGTGACTAGTACGTGAAAAACATTGTAATTCATAGGGGTATTTTAATCTATATAAAACTTAGATTCATATTTGTTTTGATATATTCATCGATATTGAAAAATTCAAAAATATTTTCAATGAAAATGATAGTAATGTATTGAGATAGAACTTTTTCAATGTATCTATAAAATTCACTTGATTTCACAGTTTTACAAGCAATAATGTTTCTGAAAAAGATTGCTGCTTTTGCACTTGACTATTTTCTAATAACAATTGTCTTTTTTTGCGTTTACTCGTAGTCAGTCTTTGGTTTATCATTGTATATTCAAATATCATTTATTTGTTCAAAAATAATAGCCTCGATGTATAACCATACGAATCATCAAAAATTTTCATATAGACCGAAAATATATTGTCGACAAATAAAGAATTAAATTTCCATTTTCATTGAATCACTACTCATTAAACTTTGTAGGTTATAGAATGGAGAGTTATTCAAAATGTAACAGTAAGAAAGCATTCTTCGGGACTATATGATTCTTTTGAATGAATTATGATATTCTGTATTCCATCAAAGTTCATCTGACACTTCATCAATCATATATAAGAAACAAACTAAATAACGCAATATCATCATAATCATCCTATTAGTTTCTTGTCTAAAAATGCACCTACTGGCTCTTTCTTTATGCTTTTTATAGGATGGTTTCATTAACAGAACAATGAGAAAACACGTCACTCCGTGTTAATAGTAGAGTAATTACAAATGTTTTTTTTTTTATTTTAATTCTTTATAATAACATTGAATTTTTCTCAAAAGTCACTTGTTGAATAGATGAAAACGTTGTCTTTCTCATTTACTGATGTTTTTAAAAGATAACCTAAAACAATAGCTTGATCTCGATGTTCAATCCATGTTATTTGTATTAAATCAAGTAGTGATCGATTACCAATAATTAAATAGCGTTCACGTAATTGATCTAATTCTTTCATATTGGACAAGTTAATTCGATAAGCTAAAGGACGTTTTACATTATTAAATAATCTTTCATATGGAATATGTTGTTCTGTACATACGCGTTCTAGTTCATCAATAACCAAAGTACGAACTTTAGACTAAAATAAATAATGATATAGAATTATGTTTATTTCAATAGTTATATGATCATTCATAACAAAAGTATAAATAGTTCAGTCAAGATTCAAACATCAAAAAGTCTTACGAAGTCGGTTGTGTATTCTATTTTGTATTAATGAATATGCGTTTGAATTAATACGAAAATTAGAATATGTAAATATATTGAATGTTTATTCCGCAGAAAATCTCTCTCTCAGTGCAGAAAAAGAGTATATATAGTTTACGATCAATCACGATTTCTTTATCTCATATGCTTTCATTGAAAGACAACCATGAAAACAATATGAGTTTGACATAAGATCTATAATTTGATATTTACAATAGTGAAACTTCGATTCTGAGTAATAACTATAAGTTAATTAGTTTAAATTTCACATATTCTTAATTAACGAAGACTACAGAGTAGATTACTGATTTTCAATAAATTATCTCCTCAGTTTATTAAAGAAACAATGTTTTGATACTTATGATAAGAAAAGCAGAATCTCAAGCTGAAAGTATTGTAATCACTGAGGTTATTTTGTTCTTCTCATAATTAGTAAAGTATTCAGAAGGTTTTGTGAATTACACCTAGAAAACCAGCATGTTACTTCACTTTTAACAGCATAAATAAAAGCAAGAAGATTATTATACCCTAGACTAATGGTAAATAGACGCTGTGTTTATAAAATTCAGGAAATTTAATGCTAATATAAAATGACATCTACTTATTTTGAATAGAAAAGGTTTAGATCTTTTAATATTAGCAATCTACACTTTATATTTGTTAATATATGTTACTAGTTTAATTCTGCTAATCGAATTATATTGACAACAATTTGTAATTATTCTTGCTTCATTCATTTGACTAAACTAATTGTGACTTTTCATAAGTATTGTAAACTTATAACCTGCTTGTCTTTACCTGAACACAAAATCGAAATGGTTTTGAGAGATGATTAAGTGATTTAATTTGAATATTACTAATTAAAAATTGCATAGTTTGTTGTTGATCATTTAAAATGATTGCAATAATTTTAATATCAAAACTGATACGAAATCGCATAAAACGATATTCATGAGGTGTTGTATGAAAAACTAATCGAATACCATTATCATGACACAATAAATCTTGAAAAGATTCATCTTGTGTTATCTCACATAAAATACGAATTTTTCTTCTGATTGCATCTTCATCAATATAAATGTGATCATTACGAAATTCATTGATAAATTCATTTGAAAATTTTAATGTTTTTAATAATTGTACAAGCGTATTTTTATTAATAAGAAATTGTGTTGCAAACTGTGTAAAGATATTCATTGATATGACATCAAAAAACAATAGAATATGAAAAGGACGAGAAGTAAAATTATATAAAGTAATGCGAAAGACGCGAAGAAAAAGAACTCGGATGACTAATCGTATTCTTTCTCAATGAGCCAAATGTAGAATAATAAGTATAACACAAAAAGAAAAAGAAAAAAAAAGAATTTTTTTTCATTAAGAATTGCTCATTATTTATGTCAAGATCTATTATTATTTTTATTTTTTACAAACTGATAACATTTGCATGTGCATAAAAAAATACATATCTATGCCATTCGTTTCCTATAATCAAAATTCTTCTGTACAAAAAAAAGAAGTAAATCAACTGTATTATCAAAGAAAAACTTAAGATGTAGTATGTTGATTAAAAACTTAGACTGCAAACATTCGGTGTCTTATATTTGCACAGTGGCATTTGAGTGTTCCCGCATAATTTGATACTCTGTAGTAGTTTATAATCAATTTTCTCACTCAAACAATTTTACTTTTTTTTAAATAAGCGACTGTCAGAATAATAGATTTATTGAGTATTGTTGTATCTAATAGGAAAATAACGTATTATTGTAATGCTATACTTTATAAGGTTTCGAAGAAGAGTTTCAAAACAAAAAAGTCATGTTGTTTACCAAAAAATAAAAAATCAGTTTTTTTGTCTTGAAAGCACTTTTGTTGTTATTCATTCTGTATCAAATTATTGAATTAGATATATCTTTGAATTTTACATGCATGAAAAAAAGAACGAAATCAGTTCAGCATACTGAATAATAACAAAAGCTTATTTTTCTCGGATTAGTCTTCAATCAAATAATAATGGATTAGTTGACAATACACCGATGAAATATTTTTTTTTAATCTATAGTTTGCTTAACAATATTTCAGCTAAGTCAGTTAGGAATTAAGATGTTATGCTTTTTTTTTCTAATACGACTTTAAAAATTGTATGGCGTCTTTTGTTTGAAAAATATCGAAAGCATTTCTTATTATTATTCTCAATTACAATAATCATCTTATAAAGCAAAAAATGTTGTATAAATTGTCCTAAGTACATTTTTTCTTATTATTTATGCAAACAAAGTTTGACTTTCTATTATCTTTTTTTTTCTTCTGATGAAATACTCTTTGACATCGACAATGTTAGATGAAAAAAATGTGTGCCAAACTTTTGTCCAATCGATGAACATGTTTCTTCTTTATCTGATCGCATTTTATTTATCATCATATTATTGACATGAAAAAATTTTAGATTCCAAATGAAAATGCATATATTACTAGTGTCTTGAATTTTCTTCATTATCATAAATCAGTACCAAATATCAAATGCATTTGATATTCAATTGTTATATCAAAATAAAAACTAGCATTATCTGATGTTTTGTAACAGTTTCTGTCTCTTTCATTAGTTCTTTTTGAAATATCTAATTCATGATATTTTGAACCAAATATTTTATAATTCTATTTGTTTTACTACATTTCAATAGGAATAGTTCTTAATCATCTTAAAAGTATAAGCAGATTTGATTATGTCTTTCTTCTATAGATTAAAATTTGAAGAATCTATACTTTCAAAAAATAGAACCAAGAATTAAGAAAAAATTCCTTTTTTTTTTTCTTCCGTGGAAACTTAATATCCAAAGATTTTGTTAAATGATTAATGTTCAACTATCATTTTACTAGATCCATAATGAAATTTCACAGTAATAGTTGCATATGTTATTTGAAATACATATACAACTTGATAATGGACCGAGAAGAAGTATACTCAAGCAGACAAGAATTTCTGATGATACATTGAAGTATCCTAATTTTTGTCTCTGTTTGACCTAGCTCATGACCATTCATAAAACACCAAATCATACTACTTTCGCCATCAATGATTCATGAAGACGCTGAAAAAAAAGTACCATTGACATCTGGAAAATGAGCAAAAAATTTTCTCACAATATTTTTTATATATACTGCACTTAAAAACGCTATTTTTATCTGGTCAAAAACGTCAAAATATTGCGGAGAAAAGTTTTTTGCACGTTTTCCATATGCAAGATATACTCTTTTCAACATTTTCATAAATCTTTTACGATGAAACTAACTGGTTTTAGTAGTTTTCTAAATGAATATGAAAAAGCTTCAATGAAAACCACGATTAGTGTTTTTAAACATTTTCTCAGGAATTCTTGTCTGCTTAAATGTTAACAAGTTTTGAATATAAGAATTTTCTCAAATAAAAACGAATGACAAACTCAGGCAATTTCTCTTTATTATATTTCATTTTTGAGTAGTTTCATATGTTATAGAAGTCTAAGATACATCGAACTCGATGGATTGTATCTGTGTTGATGCACACGGAAAAAAAAGAATAAAAACTAAATGTAACCAGAAAATGGCAATCTTCACTACTAATCTCATAGAAATACAACACCCATAGTACTTTATCAATGATCATAGTCTCTCACTGTCATATAACCTATAAAATAATGGGAATAGTAACAAATATAGACTCTAAAGATCTAACATGTAGACAGATATTGAGTCTTTATCAATTTTATTTTTAGTATAAAGATAATATCGAAAAAAATGGCGTATTCTTTGATTTTAGACCTTTCTATTGATTTGTGAGACTCGTTCGCACCTATACTCGACTTTTAAGTAAAATGTAATTTTTTATTAATTCTATGTGAATGCTTCCTGATGTTCTTGTTTCTGTCAAAATGAAATCGATTATCAGAAAATATTTAATCCATTGGTTTTTATTCACTTTTTTCACATATTAATTTTTTATTGTTAAAAAGACATTGTATCTCAAGTATCTCTCTTATCCTTTATCAAATCTAAAATCACAAAGAGAATCGTAATACGTTTAACGTGCTCAACGCAATAATGAAGACATGCGTTATTATATTTTTTTGTTCATTATTAATAATGGCACTTGCTGAAAGTATTGAAATAAAGCCCCCATTAAATGCAGATATTATTTGTCCAGATGCTATATCAATATGTCCATCGACTAGTACTTGTTGTATTTCAACAGATGGTGACTATTCATGTTGTCCAGTTCAAGAGGGAGTTTGTTGTTCAGATCATAAACATTGTTGTCCAAAACATTATAAATGTGATCTAAAAATCTTCAAGTGTGATCGTGTTTTTAATGCAAAAATGCTGAGTGTACAACCATCATTACATAAAAATTAATATTATATTCTTAGTTTCATCTGTAAAATTAAATATAATATGCTGTAGAAATCTTCTCAATTATGTGGACATCTTATTTTTGAAATTTAATGAGCTATGTTTGGTTTTTTTTTTGTTGCTTTCCATAAATAAATACTATATTTCTATTAGTTTGAGAAATACTTATTTTCTTTGAAGGAAATTGTGACTTGTACGAATTGTAAAGAAAAATATTGAAAGTTAATGTTAACAATAGAAAGCAATTTTCTGCATCATCACTATTTGGCACATATTACATTCGACGAGAAAACGAAAGAGAACAACTCGTTGAATTGATAAGAACATTCGACCTTTAGAAAAAAGGTCTCTTGATTTTTAAGGTTAATATTAGACTTGTTCTATTCATGGTAAATCTATAATATTGATTCAAAGATTGAGTTGTATTTTTTTTATATAAGAAATAATCAGCATTAATGTGCTTTTAATTACAAATAGATTGTTGTAAAAAATTGATTTGCAAAAACGTATTTATTAAGAATTATTTGACTTTAATCTTTTTTCTATTTATAATATGCAGTTGTTTCCTTTTCTTTTAAAAAAAATAAAATGCATATGTTATCAGTGTGAATTGTATTTGAATCAATAGTCTGACATGAACATATTTGAATAAGCTACTGATTAAAGCAGAAATCTCGAGTTAAGCAAAAAATCAATCGAACCAACTGTAGTCAAATGATGGTGTACAGAAATGTTGTTCAAAATAATATCAGTTTGTTTTCTGTTCGGTGGAATCGAAAATTCGCTAGAAAGGAGTAATCGTTTCTTTAGTTCTCTGCAACATCCACAAATTCTACCACAATATGTTATTTTGATGACATGATATGCATATTTCTTTTTTCTTCTTTTTTCATTCTATCAGTTTTGTAATAAGACACTATCAAATATAGTTGTTCCATCGATATATTTTGTCGTTCTGCTACCATGCTGAAAAGTATTACACGCTAGTTTTTTTTTCTTGGTATTTCCAGAGGCATTTTTTTTTCCTATCTTATTATGTATTTTCTGCGTGTATATGCCCTCTGATGATTTTGTTATATGATTTCTTACTTTCTTTTTTTGATGTATTTTTTATACTTTTCGCTTGATCAGTATGTCAAAATAACAACATTTTATTTCTAATTCAGTTCCAGGTAAGTGAATAAGATGTATAGAATATTTTATTACGACTGCCACCAGTTAATTTTTTACTAAGGAAAAAAGTCATCTCTTTTTCATAATATTTGACACATCATTAATGAGTACATGTCTTTACAATCATTTATATGAGAATGTAGCTTTAAAAAAATTATTTATTATAAATGTGAAAAATAGAGCGTTTTCCTTTGTTCACTATTAATTAAAATATATACTTTAACGAAAAGTCCATAGTGCATATTAAAGTGTAAAATTGTTTTTATTTAAAATTGTTCAATATGTAGTTCAGCCTCGTTACTGTTAGTTGATGAACGTCGACTATTCTCATGATTTTTTATTGTACTTTCATCATTCTCAAATACTAAAAAAATGGAACGATTAAGAATTTTCATTGAATTCAATAAAAGAAAAAGAATATATAACATACCTGGATTTGTTCGTTCCATGATAACAGATTCATGAATCGGTTCAACGGTACCCGGTCGTTTAGATATACGACGCATTGATAAGGTTGAAGGTGGACGATATCGATATTTATCAGCTAACATAATTAAACCAAATGTTATGAACACAGCTATATAACAAACTTTGAGAATATAAAATATTTACATATCAATTTTTACCTGCCATAGCAACGAGACCACCGACAACCTATATTAGAAATAAAGAAATAAAATAACATAAAATCAGATAATTAGTTTGATAAATAACTTACATTAGGCCAATATTCTAACCAAAGTGAATCAAATGGTGCTCCATGTAAATTTAATAAAGATTTTGATACGAGCCAATCAGTATTATTTATTATAAAAAAATGATAAATTCCATTATCACTCGCTTGAATATCAACTATAGTTAATGTTCCATTCGATGATATCGAATATTTTGTTTCATTTCTATTCAATGGATAATATAAACGATTAATTTTATCAGGTAAAAGCCAGTAACACGGTGATGCACCATTACATTCAATATTATTCAAAAGTGGTTCGAGATTCACTGTACTTCCATATGGTATAAAATACATCCATTTATATTGTGACATTGCACAATAACCATGTTTTACAAATGATATTAAGATAAAAATTATAACCAAAAAAATCTAAATGGTTAATCAAAAAAATAATTTTTAATCAAAAGAAATTTTGCGAATAGAAAACTATAACAGAAAGTCAATAATAATTATATTTAATCAATAACCACTTTTAATGAATCTTTTGTTTTTTTTTTGTCGTTTTTCTATTAAAAAAGAAAGATTTAAGACTTAGCATTTATTGCAATTATCAAGTTTATTGACTTATTCATGTCAATGTATCATATTTTTCATTCTACGTTTCTATTCTTTTTATTTCGTTGTATTTGTTATAGATAAGGCTATCGTCTACATACCATATCAGAAGATTTAAATAATTTAAGTTTAATGATTTTTGCCTTTTTTGTTTTTCATCTATTGCGTACCTTTTCTTGATAAAACAAAAGAAGAATCTTATGATGCGTAAGTGTAATGTCGTTATATCAGTCAGAAAAAAAATGAGAACTATTCAACATCTTAATCATTATTGTCTAAGGAAATTAGTTTTTTTCTCACCGTAGTCTTTGTAGTTATTTTCATTATTATTATTCGTCGTTGTTTCGATTATGCTTATATTACGACAATCACTTATGTTTTTATCGATTTCTTAATGCTATATACAGATACTTAACAACAAAAAAAGGAACAAGAGAATTTTTGGTATTTGCCTATGAGATAAGACACTTATAAAAATATAAAAACACAAAGGTAAAGGTGATTACATGTCAACATGATAGATCAAAATGTAAAATATTAAAATTAAGACAAATATATCTCTTCCTTTTAACAAGTACAAATAATTCATAAATGTAAATATTTTCTTAAGAATAACAAAAAATAAAAAGAATTGAATTCAGTACTGTTACATAGTGTTCTCCTTTCTTTCACTATCCCATTCGTCACATCAAATTTTATTTTTTTTATGTCTTGTTTTTCTCATAAGAGAGCAACAACACTAATCCATACCTGGCTCAAATCCATGAGGCTTTTTTTGTCTTTCTTCGTCAACTGTTGTTTTTAGGTTTCTTTATGTTGAATTAAGTAGCTGATGTATGTGGGTTAATTGAAGGGCCTACAGATATAATTGACGAGAGAAAGAAAAAAACGAACAGAAATTATACGAATATGCACATTCCTTATTCAAATAAAAAATAAAAATATTTAGGCGTTACCTACTAGTGTGAGTTCTCCTTTATGACGATCATTTGCTTATTTATACACATATGAATTAAAATTTTTTTCTTCTTGTTAGATTACGTATCATGTTCATCATAACTATAAGCGCTTTATTCTTGATAATTCATCAAGGACAATGTGCCATGAAAGCTACAGCTATTCTATATGGTGATAATTCAATAACGTCTTACGGTACTTTGACATTCAAACAAGAGAACGCTACTACATCTGTTGTTATTACTGGTATACTTTCAGGACTCAATGCTAGTAGTGCACATGTATGTCACACATAATAACGAATACATAAATCTTTGTATTATTTTATTTTAGGGTTTTCATGTTCACGTATATCCAGTCTCAAAAAGTGCGCCTAACTGCACAGCAGCTGGTGCTCACTTTAATCCTTACAGTAAAACATTGAAATCATTAATTTAGGTAGACAATTTTTTTTGTATTTTCTTTAGATACGACTCATGGACCACGTACGGCTGATATAACAAAACGACATGTTGGAGATCTTGGAAATTTAACAACTGATGAAAATGGTACTGTTAGTATTAATATGGAAGATTCGATTATTCAATTATATAATGCAACACAATCGATTCTAAATCGAACTATTATTGTACATGGTTTTCGTGATGATGGTGGTCAAGGAGGATATAGTGATAGTAATACAACCGGGTATGATTTTGTACAGTGTAAAAGAAAATCTTATTTTGTTATTTAAATAGAAATGCTGGTGCTCGAGTTCTTTGTGGTCTTATTGAAACATCAAATACATTAATTATCAAACCAACTATATTCGTATACTATATAGCGATAATAGTTGCCGTTATAATTTTATTATAATTTCATACAAAATTTGTTTTTAAAAATATCAATAATACAGCTTAATTTTATTATTTCACTTATTATATTCCTGCATATTGTCCGATTATGAATCTCATTTAAATAATAAAACAGTGGTATTCGTGTAGTTTTTAATAAGAAAAAAACTTTCTTGTATTGATTGTATCAAACAAACCATAGTATATGATATATTTTAAAAGGCATATTTCAACTTTTTTTTTAATAATCTTTTAAATTCAACATTATTACAGTAGAATGAATAATCGTAGTAGTGAGAAAAACGGGTACAATTGTATACGAATGAGGTATATAACAGAAAAATAATGTCAATAGAGAAAAATCCAGAAATTCATCAATAATATTTAAAAAGAATATGAAAACATTATAAATTTGAGTCAATATACACACAACCTATGGTAAGTGAGAGTGTCGATTAATACCAACACACTACTCTCGCATAATCCAATTTTTCTTTTTGGGTAAATATTAGAGTCTTACATTACACTTTGACAGAGTGGTGGTCGATGGAAATAAAGAAACCCTAAAAAATCCTATTTCGTTCTTTCCTTATGTAGCAGCTATTTTTGACAATCATAACATTCAGTAAACAAAAATTGTCAATCTAATAATCAAATAACATGAATTATAAAACTAGAGAAAAAAAAGATCTACGTTAGATTAAATTCCATAAATGATTATTACGAAACAAAGAAGTCACTGTATATGCTAGTCGAAGAAAAATTTTCGAAGACGGAGTCGAAAAAATTTCATTCAGTAGGTCTCTAGTAGATACCCTGAAATCTCTTCTTTCAGAATAAAAAATAAAAGTTTTAAAATAAATTCTATGTTCATTAGCTTATTGTCTTTATATTCTGACTATTGATATCAAATTTCATTGTTCCTTTAATATATTATACAGAAAATACGAACTATGATTGAAAATACTATAAATACTAGTGTTAAGAACTTATCTCGAATATTGAATAAATTAACTGTTTATATTTTCATGAAACATAAAAAATTACTTGAAAATACTTCTTTTGATCTATTCTGAAGAGTTTCGATTTACTGCACATTGTCATTTTTATTCCCTACAAAATCTAGGTCTTCAATTTTTGTGTTAAATTTGATTTGAGAGTAAAATTTAATTTCAACTGATTTTTTTCTATAAACTCATTGGAGATTGATTGAAAGTTCTTTTCGATAAAAGATTACGTGAAAGTTTTAGCTGTTATTTGAAATTATGTTAAGTGCTCTGATTTCAGCTGAATCGATCTATTTATCGAAAGAAACTATTGAAAAAAAAACAATCTCATAAAATAATTTTAATCTGTTACTCAGTGATTTTGATTCATTAGAGTGCACATATCTTTCCTAAAAATAAACTCATTCTCATTCTATTTATTGTTTCTATTAAGTACTCATTGTTTTGTTGTGAAAATTCATATTTAAGTTGATGTTGATTACTCAGTGATGATTATAATACTTTCACTCATTAGCTTTCACATGTCTTTAAATTTGATAAATATAATCTTAACAAGAAAAGAACAAGAGTATTTTTAGTATTTTTCTGTTAGACGAAGAATATAGTCAAGTATCATAATAATAGAATAAAAGAAAGACGCAAAGATGGTTTGATATCAATACGATAAGCTATAAAAACAAAAGAATGAAACCAACATATATGTCTTCTGTATTTTTGACAAGTATCAATAATATCTAACTATTTTATTATTTCTTAAAAGACCTTGATTAAAAGAACGAGAAGAAAAAAGAAGAATGAATGAACAAAGTCATGGGTTTGATTTTATATTGATAATTGTTTCATTAACTATTTCATTCTTTATTTTGCCATTTTTGTCAATTTTTAGATGAAATTCATCATACCATCATGCCTTTTTCTTTTTACTTGGTATCTTTTAGCTAAAAGGAATTCATCTACGTCTCTATAAATTCCTAGTTTTTTTTTCATTGTTAGATAATTTGAGGATGGAACTGTTAATATTTATATAGAAGATTGGACTATTCAATTATTGGATGCAACACAAACCATTTTAAATCGAACCATTATAATATATATCTTTTTCATGATAATGGTGGGAAAAGTGCGTTTCTTGATAGTATTAGAATAGTGTATAATTGTGTACTACGTAAAAAATGTGATTTTCTTATTTAAACAGAAATTTTGCTAGTGAAATTCTTTTTGATTTGATCAAAATATCGCCTCATGATGTAAGAACAACTCAGAAATCCATCGAAGTAACTTAAGTGCCAATGCCAACATCTTTAGTGGAAGTGAACATTCATCTTATCATGTGTCTTCTATTAACCGCAATTATTGTTGGTTACAAAATTTCGGTATCAAATATATACAACATCATATCTTAACAAAAAATAAATAATATTTCACTCGTTATATTCATGTATATTGTCTATTTCCATTCTGAAACAAACAGCATTTAAGGATTTTTTGTGTCAATTTATTAATTACTGTTTTTGCCTTTTTTTTTATAATAAAATATGCGTCAAAAGAATTTAAGAGCCATAGATAAAGAAGGCACCCCTTTAAATTAAACTAAGAACTACACTGATAAGCTTTTACTTTAAATAGACTTCTTTTGGTTACATTTACATAGATAAACTATTTGCAATTGAAACTACCTTTTCTTTTAACATGAAACTTTCATTTTTTGCCATTCTCGTTTTCTTACTTATCCAAGATGGACAAAGTACCATGACAGCGGTAGCCCTTGTGCATGTTGATTCTTCTATAACTCCCACTGGTACCATATTGTTTTATCAACGTGACACTAATTCTCCAGTTCGCGTTGTTGGTATACTGAATGGTCTTAAGAGTAATACTGTTCATGTATGTTTTTTATGAAAAGAAAAATCAATCAAATAATTGTAATTCTTCAGGGCTTTCATGTACATAGAGATCCATTGATCAATGGTGAACTTAATTGTACGGCTGCTGGTCCTCATTTTAATCCTTATGGTGAGATAAAGCAATTTTTAATAAACAATATGTAATTTATTCTGTCTGACTAGGCACATTACATGGTCCACGTGAAGCTGATTTAAAACATCGACATGTTGGTGATCTTGGTAATTTAACAGCAAATGATAATGGTATAATTATTGTTGAATTGAGTGATTCAATTATCGATTTATACAATGTTACACGATCAATTGCTAATCGAACTATTGTTTTACACGCTATGAGAGATGATGGTGGTAAAGGTGGTTTTCCAGATAGTAACACAACTGGGTATTTATAATAATATTATGAATAGATCTTGTTCAAATCTTCCATTTGTTTTAGAAATGCTGGTGCTCGTATAGCTTGTGGTGTTATCAGTTTACCAATGAAAGAGTCAGATACAAAGTCACATTCGTCAAAAAGTTCTACAATGATCACCGATTTTTTTCGAAAATTATTTGATTAAATATATGACATTGCAGATTGGTATTAATTATTCAAACTTTATATTTAAAAAAATATTTCAGCATGATTCGAAAACAATTTTTTGTTTCCACAATATCTAATTGTTAGTTAAATAAAATTTGAAGTAGTTAGATTGTTTGATATCAATAGAAACTTATTCTGTTCAAAGAAAAAACTTGACAATACTAAATTTCTTATTTATATATCTTGAAATTTTATTTTCATAAAGGAATTTTGCACTCTTCTTACGATGAAAGTAACTGAACGTTTTTCTTTCACAGAAATCTGTAAAAATTTGAAGAAATAGTAGACATAAGAAAAGAGTTTTGTTCATTTTTCAGTGATGTTCAGTATATTGGAATGATTGATAATGAGGATTTAACAAAATTTGTTTTTATTCTATTAATAAAAGAGTTTACACTTGTAGTGAAATTGATCTTTTGGATTATGACTATCATATATTAAGAGAGTACCTAAAATATTATCGATGACAAAGTTAACTTTTAAAAGACGACAACAATTTTGAGAAATATTTCGTGCGATATACTAAAAGATGAACCGTCGAAAGCTGAACAAAATTAGTTATTTACATATGTTATTTCGACGGACTCATCCAGAAGTATTCGTCAAATACTTTCCATGTGACTGACCTTTTCGACATTGTAAAAAAGCCCCACATTAATTTACGTAGTTTTCTCCCCTCTAGCAAATGATTACAAAAATTATAGAGTTAGGTTAAAAAATGGGTTATTATATTGACCATTCAATCGGCATTTTTAATTGAAAACTACTATGAATGTTTTTCTTTTCAAAGAAAAAAAGTCTATACACTGTATGAAGGAGATTGAGGACTTTGCCCATAAAAATCATATTTTTCAAAATAAAATATATACTCTATCTAAATGAAATGATTCATAATTTTTGTCTTATATGAGTGTAATTTCAATAATCAGACCTTAGGCTGGTCTACTAGCACATGAAAATGCATACCAATTCCTACAATGACTGGCTATGCATTTATTTTTTTGGCGTTTTCAAAATGAACTGAATCGTCTGGTTATGTATGTGACTATGGATTTCGTTGTCTAAACTGATCACTGATTGATTTGTTACAAATAAATGTTTTTGGATTTGGCCTTTGCTGAGAAATAATCGATTCCAAACTCGGCTTATCTCTAATTTAGCCCCCATATGCTAAATAATTAAGATAAGTGATACGAATAACAGAGATAGTTTATTGTTTTTCTATATGTTAAAACAGTAAGTGACATATGTAAATAATAAAGAAGGAAAAAAAAAGAGTGATCAGAACACGATAGATCATATTTTTTCATCAAAGAAGTTTTTAGAAAATGATCGAATTTGGTTGCCAGTTACACTTTCCCGAGGTATTCTCTCCCATATGCTTAGAATACAGCGATCAGTTTTTTCATGAATGTCATCGGAAAATTTCTTTCGTTTTTTTTTTATTTGCGCTTGACTCTCTTTCAAGTCAGGCTGTTGATATTTATGTTAGTCCTGAACTTGACTGATAAATTCGTCAATATAAGAATGTCGAGAAAAGAGGGTAGATATTCGGAAATTGTAGCCTTCAAGTGCATTATTTGTGCGGCGTAACTTGTTTCGAATATTATTATGGACGTTTTCGATATTAATGAAGAAACGTATAAATCCTTGTCTAATACACTCTTCCGTTCTGTAATCATTATTCTTGAGCACTAGAACATTGAGGAATATAAGCATCCATCATTTCTGTGCATACAAATTCCATCAGTGGTGATGGAACAAGAGTTAAATTTACCGTTACTAAAAAGCTAATGATCAGTTCTCTTAGTTTCATCACCTACAAAGTTATTGCTGTGAGAGTTGCGTGAAGATAGTTGTGGAAGTTTTAATCTTAAACTTATTGCCAAAGTGCTTGTGAGTAATGGAAGGAGCAACCAGTAATCGTTGTATTTGGAAATATATGTGCAAAAGCATTTATCACGCCTATTTCGAAGTTGCAAGTGAAAATCTCTGCATGAAATTGTTTATACGATAACTTAGAGACGTGAGACACGAGACGCATCGCATCATACAACCATCGTAATATCCAAAGATAATCTAAATCTGAGCGACTAGTAAAGACTACGTGAAAAATGTTCCATTCGAATATATTTTCAAGCAAGAAAATAAATACTTGAAACTCGATGCGGATTCAAAGATAAGGAGCCGTCCACCATTGCTTAATGTCTGAAAGACAAAGAAAATTTCGGTTTCAAAAAAGAAGAGAATTTTACATGTCTCATCAACAAGCAGGAATGGCTCTCCATCTTCTGTAACGGTCGATTTACCTTTTAAGGTCAGTTCAGATAACGTTTTAAGTAGAGTTTGGACTGGAGATCGTTATGTTACCTATGATAGATTGAAGTACATTTTTCTTCCATTTTTTTTGTCTTGTTCGAAAAGCTTCATGACAATGTGGTCGTTCACTTCCAGCTGTTGTGATAATAGTTTGAATTTACATCGTATCGTTTCTAAAATAGAAGTTCTATGCAAAAACTCTCTTAGATGTATTATATATGACGGAGTATTGAACTTAATCTCTTTTTTGTAACTTCGATAAGAATATGCAAATTATTCTTGTTAAGCTGAAGAAAAACTGCAACAAACCTTTAATACATAAATAGCTCATATGTTGAAGTAGTTCTTTTTTCTTTGTTAGGAGGTCCGATTCGAGTAATTCTTTCAAAGAAAAACATTTTAACTAATTTGCTGAAAAACGAATATTTTTTTCTGTTTCATTACCATGAATAAGTAGTGCCTTAAAGAATGTGCTACCATTGTTGAAAGAGTACGTCCAGAGAATTAGCAGAAAAATATGTAATCATATTTAACAGCAGTAATCTTACCAATTTAGAAGGAAAAACGTTTTGAGTGCTGTTTGTTTGAGAATTTTCGGTAGAAAAATCTGGTACTTCTACTTCAACAAAGATTTGAATTGACAAATTATATTTGAAAGAGTATCCGGGCTACTAAACTCACTTCATTATTCAAAACGTGCTTTCTTGATTTTTTTGATTTTCCAAAATAACGTTTTGTGTCTTCTCCTGACTTTCAACAAGAGAAAGAACTCGCTGAAGCATTTGATAAGCATGTCATAGATCCACTTCACCTCACTCCAACTTAATCATGACTTTCTTTTGAAAACAAGATAAACATTCACTGTCATCTTCTTGTGTACTATTATAATCTTCATTCATTCTAATATTGCTCTTGATTTATTTAGCCGACATTCGGATTGTTTGAATCGATAATGTCAAACCAAATATAGATTACTATAAATTTTATTTATTCTTGTATTGCATTAATACATGCATTTCTTGTTTCTGTCTTTTTACATAAAGAATTCAACAGTATTTGCTTTCGTTGGTCCATCATCGTATTTTCTACTAAATTTACTTTTTTTGACTTTTAAAATTTTAATGTTACATCTATAATAATACAACGTCGTTTCCTTTCACAGGAAGAACTGATATGTAGGCATATGCTTTATTAGTATTTGTGCTTATTTTATTAAATTGTAAAAAAATTCCTATCGCTCTCCTTGCTAGGCCTTGATTTAGCAATATTTGTTGCAACTCAACATTTTAAATTGACAGGTTCTCTATTTTACTATATATGTTTGTTATAAATTGCATTGACGAACTGTTAATGAGCAAATAACCGATGAACTGGATTTATATCTTCGCTTGATTCCTGCTATTAATGGTAATGGTGATAAAGAAATGAATGTACTATCTTCATCGTCACCTACAATAAAATTTGCTGATTAAGATCCAAGTATGTGTTTGTCTAATAAGTCATTCAGATGATCACCTAGAAAACATATATCATCGTGTTGGCACAGATAGAAACGAAATGTGTAGAAAATTAGTTCAACTTCGTTCGTTTAAAACCTATGAAAATCATAAAAGTAATATTTAAGTTGATACTTCAAATAACATCGAAACTTTATCAAGGTGAGAAGATTTTACTTTCATGATAGAACGACCTACGAGAAGGATTTGAAGCATAACAGATTTGAATATGTATAATTCTACTGGTAGTTGAGTTCCACTTTTTGCATGTATGATTGATTGTTGTTAAACTTGTGTGTAACGGGAAAAGTGCCAAGTGACATATACAAATGAAAAAATACATAACAAAACTGCAATTGTTTTCAGAGATTTATTCATAATCAACGTCAACGTTGAGAAAGATGACTGACTATTACTATTTAGGCAATAAAATACACGACCTGCTTTGTCACTTTTGGAAATTTGTCTAGTTTTCTTCGAAGAGGAAGGCATTGTGAAAATCTGAAAAGAAATAAAATGAAGTAAACAAAAGTTTTATTTTCTCAATATGAAAACTGAATACTACTCGAAATCATTTTTTATTTCAATTAAGCAATAAAAATTGTATGCAGATAATGAAACACATGTGTTGCACCCGAGACGTAGACAGAGCTCCAAAAGAATTTAATTTTACTTGAATTGAAAATATGGAATCAAGTTCTTCACTAATTTTACAGTCATCATTATCGAAAGTTTATCAACATAGGTGAATGTTGGTGTAAGCGTTGTCGCAGATAAAAATAATGTCTCACTTTACACTCATATGCATATTTCAAACCTTCTGTATGTGATTGACTGTAGTGGCGAATAACATGGGGAAGACATAAATTGAATAATTGTCGTTAACACTAGATTTATTAAATTTTGAACTACCCAAAGCCACTACATGACGAGAATAGGAGATATAAATATCTGATATAATGGTTGTTTCCATTGATACTATTGTATTTGTTTCAGTAAATTCTCTGATAGTCATTAACATAAGTATATCAAATTGTCTAAAAGTCATTAAATGTTGAGTAACATACTAAACAGGTAGTATGTGTACGTTGAACTCACAAAATGATCGATCATGTCAATATCAATCATCAGAAGAAGACTAATTTTATCTTTATCCTTCTAT